GCTACGATTATTGGAGCATTGCCAAGTCCGCGATTGAAATCGCTTCAAATTTTTCAATAATTCACAATCCTAATCGACCCTACTTTGATTTCTTCTTTCAGCTCAAAGGTCCATTGGAGTTCTGGAACGCTTGGTTAGCAATATTCAGTACACTCGGTAGCATAGCGACTGGCTATGGCCTTTTCCATGAAATTTACCATAGAGGGGTAGTATGTGAGTTGATCTCACCTTCTTTTATCGATGGGTTTAGAAATTTGTAATTCCAGCATCGTATACTCAAATGGGAGATTTCTTTACGGGTGTCAGCGGGTACTTCACGTTTCTGTTCGTCATGAGCAAAGTGGCTGAATTGGGTGATACGATCATGATCGTGCTACGCAAAAAGCCGTTGATTTTCTTGCATTGGTAAGGTAAATGGCCTACTTTATGATGAGCAAGTAAATCGTACGTTAAGGTATCACCATGTGTTAACTCTGAACTATGCTTTCATGTCATACTCGGTAGACACTGCTTACAATAGTTGGATAGCATGGATGAACTTTACCGTTCATGCCATCATGTATGGGTAAGTAGGTTCTTCTCATTAAACATCAAATTAATATTTACTACCGAATTTTTTTAGCTATTACATGCTGCGATCATATGGTGTAAGAGTGCCAGCCTGGGTCGCACGAAACATCACGACCATGCAGATTGTGCAATTCATCATCACGCATTTCATTCTGTTCCATGTCGGCTATCTATCAAGTCAGGGTGTGAAAGTCGATAGCACACCGAAAGTTTTCTGGTAAGCCCACCATTTTTTGAGAATTCGAAACTACCATCCTTCCTTCAAATTTTTTTTGCATAAATACGAAATTGTATAGCGCTTAATCTTCTATCAATTGATTTTTCAATCCAATATGAGCATTTCAACAAATTAGTACTTTCTTCTGTCACGCAGTTTTTTATCCTCTAATATTAAGTCGGCTTCTGGCAACCATAGATATCTAAACAGTTGCTGTTATACTGCTTATCATTTGTGGAAAACATTAAAGTACTTTTTAGGTTTTGCCTTATCATGGAGATGTCCTACGTGGTCTTGTTTGGAAACTTTTATTTCCAATCTTATGTGAAGGGCGGAGGAAAGAAGTTTATTGCAGAGAAGGAGAAAAAACAGGAATGAATACGGCATAATAACGTTGTTGTGAAGTACAATATGAATGCATACCAAATAATGGAGAAAAAGCTGAAATAAAAGTTGCGTTTTTTTTTTGTACGAACTAACTTCTGTGTACGCATAATAAAGTCATTACAATTACGGAAGCTATCTAGTAGGTTATCTAGTAGCATGAAAAAATGGTTTATTTGCTTCCTGTACATATGAAAGAGTTGATAAAGTTGTAGCATATATATGCCAGCGAGGTGTTGCAAAAAAAAGTTGAGCTTGCTACAAAGGAAAAGCAAGACCAGATCCTTGAGATGCTTGTTCCTTCTTCCTGCATAGATATTTTGATAAAA